ATAAATAAATATTTAAATATAAAAATGTTAATTATTACACACAAATTTATTTATTATAACGAATATAATATTTATGTACATGTTTGTAAAATTACTCGAATATACCCATTCTTTCAACAAGTAAGCAACAATTGTTTTTTCAAATCATTCTCAGCCCTTCGTTTCCTTCATTTCACTAAATTTTCCATGATTCGAGAAGGGCCGTGAAATTACACAAGTCCGTACGTCTGGCGTTCAGCTCGAAATTCTACCGGAGAATTCCTTGTGTCAAATTCAGGCAAACGCGTGATTATTTGCAGCGTTCAATCGTACGTACGCGAGTTAAACGTAACACCGGTCGGAGAACGCAGAGACAAAGAAGAGAGTCCTGCTCTCGCCGAGTGAAATTTATTTCGACAACGCAACGAGCAACAAGACCTTCCGCCGCGGATTAAAATCAACCACTGGAAACGATCGAAACAAGTCGAGGAAGAAAGAAGAAGAAAGAAGAAGAAGAAAAAATAAAGAGGAAAAAGTAGAACGAAATGTATGTGTTTCTCAGCCAGTCGGAACTCGGGGCGGAAAGTCTGGTTGGACGATCAATTAGCACGAATATTTGAAACAACGAGACCAACTGAAACTCTTGCGCAATGATTTGACACAGGCGACCATTTCTCCGGCCATTTCACTGATTCGCAGAATTAGAGAATACAAAACTTTTGTTATCGAGCTTGTTAACGTTGTAAAACCAATTTGTTCTTTAACGTGCCGATAACTTAGAACGTTCATTCGGAAGACCCGAATTAAGTAGTGAAATCGTAATTGAAACGTGTTAACGGAAGTAGAAATACACTGATATTAAAAAAAAAAGAGATGTTTTCGCACGATCATCATTTACGTGCAGGGGAAATTATCAGGCCGAAATTGTATATATAATAAATGGCCCGCATCGGTCAAATGGCCTCGAGATATTTGCCTTTTTGTTTGCACGATTATACCACCGCCAGGTCGCCAGTTAATTAATAATCAGCAATCATCGATCTTCGAAATTAATACTGTATCATCGTGGGAAACAGAGAGAAATTGAACTGTCTATTGCATGATAATCGCATCGAAGCTGGAAAAGCCGGCGGGCATCGATGATGCGCGGGAGGGGGAGGGGGGGGAAGAGGGGGGGAGGGATGGAAAACGCTGTGTCGATTTTCATCCGGTTCTCTCTACCCCGCCGATATTCATTCCTGAGCAATCTGCAACGAAATTGCAATAACGTGTGATGACTGATACTAATCAATTAACGACGAGGAAATTTCAGGCTCTAAAGAGTAGTCTTGTACTACTTCGAATCCCCAGCCCTTTTAAGTTTAAAAATAATCGCAATTAATTGAGCTTCGAACTCGGCGAACAGTTGGAGAACATGAGGGAAATCTTTCGAAATCACACGATTAACTACTTAAACTTTCTCTCTCTTTCTCCCTGACTTTTATTTCCTAAGCGAAATAAGCAGAAATAAATAAAACTCCAGGACTACTTCGAGTCACCCGTTTCAAGCTTTCAAAAATAATCGCAATGGACAGTTCGAAGAGCTGGAAGTTGAAAAGAATCTAGAGAACTTGAGGGAAGCCTTTTCTAGTAATTTTCTACAAGTCTTAAGATACAATTCGAGAATTTCTATTTTCACTACTCTGTTTCTACACGCTCGGGAGGATAAAGACGGGAGGGAAGGAAATTCCTCTACCACGGCAACTTTTCAAAGATCGCCTGCGACCTTTAAAAATATCGACTTTGCTCGATAACGAGCATCGCGATTGCGAGAGAACGATATACGAATTCTTGAATCGATTCAGCTCGAGTATTCCGAAGTAACAAACACAGAAGACCGCACTAGCTATTACGCAGACCTCGGTTTTCCACCCGTCACAGCGAACCCCCTCGACTTTTTACCTTCGAGAGAGAGAGAGAGAGAGAGAATCACGATTCGCGCTACGTACACACTCGTGAATCACACCCACACGCGAAAACGAACTCTCGCACGAACGTAACACTACGTTCACAAGTATCTAAACACCACAAGACTCTGCACACTTCCAAATGAAACCCTAAGCGAAACTCTTCATCCCAATTTTCATCCCTGATCCGCGTTTAAGGCGATCGTGTTAACGAAAAGGAACAAACAATAATAATAAAAAATAATAATAATAATAATAATAATAATAATAATCACGTCACGCGAGATAGTCGAGATCGAAATCTACGAAATTTATTCAGAAAATCTGGCAGTGAAAAATCGATCTTCGGAAAGATCGGGAACGCTCGCGGCCGGCTTGTGTAACTTACACACACGTGGCGGTGCAAGCAAGTGCATTATGCACTGGAAGCGTAGGCGAGAAACGTGACCCACCTGTGCGTACACGCACGTGGAAACACGGTACGCGCGCGCGGATTCACGGTGAAAGTATCGATATCCACGCGGAATCGGAGCTGCGGGAATGCACGAGCAGCACCGTGTTAATTCCTATCCGGCGTGCAACGAGAGTTCACCGAACTCTCCTTCCTCCGCTCTTTCGTATTCTCTCTCTCTCTCTTTTCCTTTCTTTTCTTCTCTATCCTTTTTTCCATTTTCCTCGTCTTTTTTTCTTTTTTCTCTCCCCGCTTCTCGCGCTTTGTACACCGCGAGTTTTTTCGTTCAAAGGAAAGACGACGTGCACGCGTTTTATTCGGAGTATCGGCGTGTGCTCTTCTGAAACGTATCGCGTTCCTGAGTTTCATTACCGATACTTTTAAACACGCTGCCGCGGACCAGGGAACGTCTACAACGTTCGACGATACAACACAAAAATCAGACGTAGCCCGCTTTTTTTCGCGCTCGCCGGCTTTTTATGCTGCCGATATTATCGATCAGCGAAATGCTAACGCGTGCCCCCTCCAAATTCAATTTAATCACGTTTCTCACGTACTACGGAGATTATATAAAACGTATGTTCGTATAATGTCCATAAATTTGCATCGTTTTCTCGTTTCTAACTCTGTGTGTGTGTGTGTGTGTGTGTGTTTCTAACCTTTGCTTCTTGCGAAGTAAAAAGCAATAAAACGGGGACGTAGTAATGGCACGTTGTAATACGCGAGCACAGTGGATCGCTGATTTTACTCTCGTGATTTATTTACAATGCAGAGAACTATCACTGA